CCTTTTCTTGTGTGATTTGATACCACACTCCACTCTTGTTCTCTTTTTCTTTGCAATTTTTAAATATTATTTTCAAATTCAAACTCCAAAAATAAACAATAAACAACCACAAAATAAACAACAGCAGCAGCAGCTGCAACAATATCATAGTTAATAGGCGATGGGTTGGCTCAACATTTAAAGAAGTTTTCACATTTCAAAACTGGTACTCTTGTTCAAAACTGTGAGATACCTTCCCAGTATATGTCGGTTCATAATTATAAATGAGAGAGTCCATTTCTTTCTCTTCACTTCTGAAATGATGCTTGCTCTTTCTTGCTTCACTGACAAGGAAATTAGCAGCTGTCTGAGCAATGGAGACCGCATGATAAGAATGGTTGATGGATTCAGCTGTCGTCCATTCAAATATGTTCTTTTCAGGATGCCACTGGACGCCATAAAATGGATAATGAATAGCTAAATAGAGAGAATAGAAAATGGAGGAATAAATAATAAATAATGTATTATTAATGATTGCTAACCTTCTATTGATGATATAAATTCATATCCTTTTCTGTCAAAATTAGTTGATAAAATTGTATAAAATTCAGTCAAAGAAAACATACTTTTAAAACTCTAAAATAATAAAATAATAATAAATTATTATTAATAGGAGGCATATTTATTTACATGAGGAGAGACTCCATATTGATGATTGTTCATTGTAATTGGTTCACTGCTCAGCCAGTCCATTCCTTCTGGTGTGTATATTGAAAAGAGTCGACTAGCATTAGTAGCTGATATAAAAATACAAATATAACATAAAATAAAACTGTTGTCTCAGTGTGGCCAAAAACTAAGACTTCTTTCTAACCAATGACCCTGTACTATTAGTAACACGGTAGCGTTACTAAGTAGGATTCATAGTACAGGGTCTTTTGTCTGATTTTGGAACAACTTTAAAATTTGTAAACGATCTAAATTTGATCGGAATCAGTTTAAACTTTCTACACAACATAAAAACATGTATATGTGCTAGAAAAAATTATAAAAATGAAAAATTATCTCCTTTTCATTTTTGGCAAAATTTGGCCGAAATCCCTGTACTATAGTACAGGGACTTTGACCCAATTTTGGAGCAACTTTAAAAATTCGTAAAAAACCAAATTTGATCAGAATCAGCTCAAACTTGAAACACAACATAAAAACATGTATATGTATCAGGAAAAATTATAAAAATTGAGAATTCTCTTCTTTTCATTTTTGGTGAAATTTAACCAAAATCACTGTACTATAGTACAGCAACTTTTAGCCCTATTTTGGAGCAACTTCATTACTCTAATTTGATTGGAATCAGCTTAAACTTGATATACAACATAAGAACATGTATATGCATCAGGAAAACAGCATATTCAAAGCCCATAGCTACTGTAACACTAATGTTATTTACCATCAGTGAAGTTGAGTGGAATGCTGTAATCCTCAGAATCAAATGATGATAGTATGTGATTAGTTCCTGACTGTAACACACACAGCAACTGGTATCCAAGACATGTGCCCCATAACGGGAAATAATCTCCTTCATCATTAGCCTATGGATATCAAATTAACTTTTTAGTCTATAAAAATAAGGATTATATTCAACTAATTTTTGCTGATTAGAGCATAAAAATAGGATAAATGTTACTGGTTAATAATAAATTAATAACCAATAAAAATTAATAATAACACATTGATATTATTCATGACTCAGTAATCCACTACAGTAGTTATCCACTTTACTCCAATTATAATTAACTACAATGATTTCCTGATTATAGATTAGATTAAAATGCTTGAGGGAGAAGAAACAAGATTTTTCTTGATGTCACTGATAATTATGGTGACAGTGGAAGCAGCTGGTATATGTGTGATCAAAATGCTACACTGAAATTAGTGCTTTTCTTTGTAGTTATAACTCTAAGTCCTGTTTCTGTTACTACATTTCTCAATACAATTGTGAACTTTACTTGTGAAGGAACTGGTGAACAGCTTTTCTGGAGAGTTCAGACGGTCATTATAACTGATTCCATCATTAAAAAACAACGTGATATTACAGTTACTGATTACTGATAAGGTTTCTGGAAATTTATCATCACTTCTAACAATTACTGCACTACCCATTAACAATGGAATCAGCATTGCATGCCACATATACTCCTTTGAACCATCCTTCCAACAAGATCTGTCTGGTGGAACTTTAACTATTAGAGGTGAGCGTAAAGCTTTAAAAGGTTTACTATAAATGGTATTTCTGTTTTCT